TATATCTTACCAAATAATCACAACGACTAGAATTTGTTTTATGAACTGTTCTATGATAGCTGCATCATTTGGCACCTTTAATCCAAGCCGCCATTCCATTTCTCTTCATCGGCCAGTCACTCTGATCAATCCGGACCAATAAGTCTTTTACTGTATGTACTAGGCAGATTCGATTTCTTCATTATAATCGGGAAATTCTATTACCAAATTTCATTTGATTATTAAACAAACACATTCAGATGAGGCCCTTCAATCGCGTTTAAATGTACACTCGAACAAACGCTTCAATTTCTCGCCGACAGATTGGACAAGTGCGAAGAGAGTGACCACAAGGAACGCATGTTGATAAATGTCCGCACGGTATACATGCCAATCCCTTTTCACTTTCCAAACAGAGAACACACGAATTTCCTACAGGTGATGAAGCTTTTGCGTTTTCTTTGCCCTTTCGTTTTTTATCAATAGTTTTCACAGAATCGGCATTTGATTCCACTGATGATGTTGAAGCGTCTGGTGTGCATGATTCATTTGTCAATGAAGTCATATCAGCATCTCCGGTCGATGAAGACAAAGTCGTTGAAGGTGATGATAATGCATTACTGGAAACTGGACCTGTGTTTTGTTCTATATAAAAAGGGGACAACATGAATTCCTTTAAAAAAAGTTCATGAAAGTGATGAACCTACCTGTTCTCTCTTTCTTCGCTTGTTCTTGTACTTTTTTCATGTAAACACTGGGTATAATAATGTTTTCTTTCTTGCCATCGATGTGTTCAATTTGTTTTTGAAGAATAGTATAGGCCAAAAGTAGATCACAATCACTTACAAAATCGTCACCTTAATTAGTTAACGAAAATGTATATGCAACTAAGACTATTAATATCAACTTACCTTTAAGACGCAATTGATCCTCATAACAACGTTTGATAATTGATAATTTAAAGTTTTTATTCAATAAATTTTGTGAGATGGGCAAATCTAATCGAGCAGCGACTGATCTTGATAGCGTACTCTCATCTAGGATTTGTAATTGTCCCCTATTTGCTACAGCTGCATTAGCTGACGTCGTTAAATTACTGCTGTTTGAATTTTCATTTATATTTGGTATAGAAAAGGTTTTTGTTTGGTGTCCATTAGCTTTTAATCGTTCTTGTGCGGCTCGTTTTGATTCTTGAATCTTTTGATACAAATTATCACCGCATAATTGTCTTGCATAAGCACAGTGAGGAAACCAACGAGCATGTTCAATCATTGGATTATCTTTCTCACCTAGCAATAAGACGAAAATATTTAGTCAATCCTTCTTATTCTGTTCCAGAGAGAATTAGCAGAAAAAGGAATATTGCTTCTACTGCTACTTCAAACAAAGAATGACCTCGATATCTGTTGAATAACTTTATAACGCCTTTTAGAAGAAATCTTCACCTGCTGTACAGTTCAGTAACATTAAAATTACTTCTCATACTGAGATTTCATCTGAAAATCTTCAGGGGTTCTTTGAAAAACTTGCTGAAGACCCGCTTTATTTTCGGTTGTTCTGGTCGTGATATCGGATAGAACACCTTCTCTTATGCTCACTCTTCAACTTTCAATCAATTTGTTTGAGAAATGAAGGCACCGGAAGGTTTTATTTTAGCACAGTCACACCAGTCAAAAATCAAATTTTCTAAAAATTCATCTTTTGAAGTTTTCTTAATCTGGAGAACAAAACAAGCATCGCCACGAGATTTCCCGTGTTCGAAAACCTATGTTTCATGTGTTTTTAAGGTTTTCGGACTTCATATTTAGCCGATGGGTAGGCTCCCGGAGATTGCCTGCAGCGCCGGAACCACGGCAGATAGTGACTTTTAACTTACGCCAGAGCGTAGAGTGACATCTGTTGTATATCTAAATATTTTTAGCACGGTACTTTGCTATGCAGATTTTTCGAGTGACAGGCACAGACATTTTGCTTGGAATGGCTTACCATGGCAAATATGATCCGGAGCCAGAATTTTTCCATAGGTCTACTTCCCAAACTGTCCTCTGTCGAATGCTGAAAACTGCAAGGTTCTAGGCCTTTTCGTTATAAAGTTATTCAAAAGATATCGGATTCATTCTTTGTTTGAACGAATAGTAAGGTGCGGGTAATTCAAAGTTTCCGTGACTTTTCGATTTGTTTAAAAGATACAGCATTCGATAGAGCTCGTCGAGCTCTACAAGAATATGAGGTTTAAAAAATTTCTAACCCCTTTCTTCGT